TGTGCTTCCACGGGCAGTTTTGGGCTAACTTCTCCTTTGCTGCCATACGTATTACGATGAACACACATCACAAGCAACGGCAGGGAAAGGTGATGAGAACAACACACACAGGAAAGGGTGCTCAGCGCCACTAATTATTAGAAATGCAGATCCCACCACTACGGTGAGGTACCACCTCACAGCAGTCAGAACGGCCACCGTCAGAAAATCTACAAACAATAAATGCTGGAGAGGGTGTGGCGAAAAGGGAACCCTCCTGCACTGTTGGCGGGAATGTAAATTGCTACAGCCACTATGGAGAACAGTATGGAGGTTCCTTAAAAAACTACAAATAGAACTACCATACAACCCAGCAATCCCACTACTGGGCATATACCCAGAGAAAACCATAATTCAAAAGGGTCATGTACCACAATGTTCACTGCAGCACTATTTACAGTAGCCATGTCATGGAAGCAACCTAAATGCCCATTGACAGATGAATGGGTAAAGAAGGTGTGTCACATATATACAGTGGAATATTACTCAGCCATAAAAAAGAACGAAATTGAGTTATTTGTAGTGAGGTGGATGCACCTAGAGTCTGTCATACAGAGTGAAGTAAGTCAGAAAGAGAAAAACAATACCATATGCTAACACACATATATGGTATCTTAAAAAAAAAAATGGTTCTGAAGAACCTAGGGGCAGGACAGGAAGAATAAACACGCAGATGTAGAGGATGGACTTGAGGCCACAGGGAGGGGGAAGGGTAAGCTGGGACAAAGTGAGAGAGTGGCATGGACGTATATCCACTCCCAAACGTAAAATAGCTAGCTAGTGGGAACCAGGCACATAGCACAGGGAGATCAGCTCGGTGCTCTGTGACCACCTAGAGGGGTAGGATAGGGAGAGTGGGAGGGAGATGCAAGAGGGAGGGACTATGGGGATATATGTATACGTATAGCTGATTCACTTTGTTATACGGCAGCAACTAACACACCATTTTAAAGCAATTCTACCCCAATAAAAATTAAAAACAAAAAACAAAAAACAGGCGATGGCAGTTCAGAGGCGCACCAGCCACAGGGCGGCCCACGCTCACGCTGCTCCCCCTACACCCCCGCAGGGAGCACCCCATCGGAGACAAGAGCTTCCAAAGCTACATCAGGCAGCAGTCTGAGACCCCCGCCCATTCCATGTGAAGCCCGCGGGACCCCCTGTCCCAGGATGGTGCCCTGAGCTGCGCCGGGTGAGCCCGTGTCCAGGAAGGAGAGAACACCAGACCAGAGGGCAGCTCCTCAGCTTGCAAGCCGACAGGGGTCGAGCTTGTGAACTCCTGAGGCTCCCGGGCCATTTCCGGGTGGCTGTGCACTTGATCACGCCAGTGGCAGGCAACCTGAGCTGGCCTTTGGGGAACAGGGTGCCGGCGACACCGCGGCCTGCGGAGCGTGTGCCCTGTGCCGCGTGCACGTTTGTCTCTGCTGGTCTGTGACGCCCGCACCGTGGAGCCTCCGGCACTAACGTTCTGCTTCGACTCAGCAGGGGTGTTGCGAGCGTTATTCTTCTCCTATGAGCCAGACGTCCAGGCGGCCACCAGCACGAAGCCTCCTGGTTTCAGCTTTTGACGTTTGTATCGGTCCTGGCCAGAGGGTCGGAACCGCACGGAGATCCCAGTTTGAGGATGCCCTCGCTCTTTGGGGACACGGGGTCCTTTTGCAGAGAGATTTCCTAGGGGTCCCAGCCTTCGTTCCCGGGGTGGGAGCCCCCCTGCCTGCTGCTGATACGCGTCCACGCAGCCGCCACGTCAAGCGAAGTTGTGTTGTTTGCTGTCAGTGGGGCTAAAAGTAGAATCCACGTTTGCCACCCTGGTGGGAGTTGGGGGAAGGTTGTAAAAATAGAAATGTGCATTATTTTCAAGCTGTTTTTCTTAATGTTTTTAAAGGACTGTTTTTAATTAGCTCTTTGATATCAAGTAACTCAGAACATCCAGGCCTCTATGTGCCTCCAGACGACAGAAAAGGGAGTGGTTGTGTCTCATGGCAGCCAAGTAAAGGTCCCCGAGGGAGAACGGGGAGGGAGGCAGGGGGAAACCTGGGCCCGCGCTGGAGGCTTGGGAGCGGACGCCGGGCCAGCGGCAGAGCTCGCCGTCTCTGAGGCCCTGGGGGCTGCCAGGGCTGCTGTGCGTCTGGGGCTGGGGGTCCTGACGAGCTTCTGCTGACTCCCCCGAAGGCCTCGGCTGTGTTCAGACTCGAGATCTAGACGGCAGGTGGTAACATTGCCTGTTGTCGCAAAAATGGTGGAGGAAAGTGTTGCAAAAAAAAAGCTCCGTATCCGCAGCTCTGAGGCTGCTCCAAACCGCAGTTTTCAACGTGGATTTGTAACAGTGTCTCTGTTTGTACGATACTAATGATCGGGATGCATTTTACTGGCCAATTAAAACAGCCCTTTTATTCTTTCTGAGACTGGCGTGGTTTCACAGGAGCGCCCGCTGATAAGGCACACGTGGAGATGGGGGGTGTGGTGGAGTGGGGCAGGAGGGAGCTGGACGACATGCCTGTGATGACAGGTGAGGTACCTTGACAACAAATGTGGTCCCTCTGATGATAGAGGGTGTCCCCCTGATGATAGGACAGGTCCCCCTTACGACAAGTGTGATCCCCCTGATGACAGGTGAGGTCCCCCTAGCAACAGGTGAGGTCCCCCTAGCGACAGGGTCCCTTTGATGACATGTGGGATCCACCTGACAACAGGTTTGGTCCCCTGACAACAGGTAAGGTTCCCCTGACGACAGGTGGGGTCCCCCTAATGACAGGTGAGGTCCCTCTGATGACAGATGTGATCCCCCTGATGACAGGTGTAGACCCCCTGATGACAGGTGTGGCCCCTCTGACGACAGGTGAGGTCCCTCTGATGACAGGTGTGGTACCCCTGATGACAGATGTCCATTTGACGACAGGTGGGATCCCCTGATGACAGATGAGGTCCCCCTTAATGACAGGTGGGGTCCCCGTGATGACAGGTGAGGTGCTTCTGATGACAGGTGAGGTCCCTATGATGATAGGTGAGGCCCTCAGGATGACAGGTGAGGCTCCTTGGATGACAGGTGAGATCCCTCTAGTGACAGGTGAGGTCTAGTTGTGGGGCTTTGGGTTGTGCTGGAAACCACAATGCTTCTGGGATGGAAAGGTGTGGAGTGGGGCCCTGTGAGGGCCATGGGGACCTCAGGGCGGACAGAGACGGCGTCAAGCTCAAGGAGGGTGGGAAAGGCAGGGCCCCTCGTGTCTCCGAGGACTCAGCAGCGGGGTGTGTGCTCGAGGGCCAGACACAGGTCAGTGTCCTGAGGGAGGGGGGACAGGAGGCCGGTGGCCCGAGGGGAGACAGAGGGAGCTCAGTGCCGTTGAGCAGATATGGCTGCTCCCCTTCGAAAGGGGGGGAGGAGCTGGGTGCACAACATGGGGGACCCGCCCCGCCCCCTTCTCCTTTCTCCTGTCTTCTCCATTTGGTTTCCACTCAGTTGTCTTTTTACTTCCAGCCCCAGTCGGCCGCCTGGTATGAGAGAGTCGTAGGGGGGAGGGGGTGGGATCTGGCTCTGGGGAAGCCGGGTCAGGCCTTCAGGGGTGCCACGGCCCTGAGCCGAGGACAGTGGCGATGAGCGTCCTTCCCAGGTGCACGTGGACTGGGGAGGAAAGCGCTGTTCTGCTGCTCTCCGGCTCCCCCTGTCTGCTCTGGGTGGGGGCCAAGGGGTTCAGACGCCCCGAACACGAGCGTCCACGGCAGGGCCGCAGGGCGGCTCCCAGGGGCCTGTGCAACGCAGATTCACACACAGGACCAGGCCCAGCGGAGAGAGTTGGGGCTGGCGGGGGCAGGGAACGAGCTCTGCCCATGTCGGGGTATGTGGGAGGACTGAAAAGAGAACACCTGGGAGAATGAGGACCCAAAGCCCCGCTCCGAGGACCCCAATCTTTTGCGACCCCAGTCTGTGCCCACTGACTTTCTCCAGCCCACCTGTTACCCCAAGAGGGAGCTGGTTCAGCTGCCCGCCTCCATCCGTGTCCCCCCGAGGCACAGAGCCTCTGAGCAGCCTCCAGGGCGGCCCCTGCACCGGCCCCCGGCTGGCGGACCCGAGGCCTCCCGGGAGCTAAGATGCGTGAGCTTGTTTAGGGAATGGAAGTGCACGTGGAAAAAGGGAGCTCGTCACTTGTACTTCATTCGGAACATTACGACACACTTAGTGCTGTCGGCTGGGTCCTCAGGAAACACCTGCTCTGATTTTCCCCCGTGGTCCCAGGTGAGAAGAAAAAATTGTGTTGAATAGATTATCAGAAACTTTCTGTTAGGCTGTGTTATAGGCTGAACTGTGTCACCCCAAAATTCATGTGTGAAGTCCTGGTCCCCAGGACCTCAGAAAGTGACTGCCTTTGGAGATGGGCCTTTAAAGAGGTGATTAAGGTTACATGAGGTCACTAGGGTGGCCCTGATCCAGTCTGACTGCTGTCCTTTTAAGAAGAGGAGGTCAGGACACAGACACGCACAGAGGACGACCCCGTGAGGACACAGGGAGGAGACGGGCATCTACGCACCGAGGAGAGAAGCCTCAGGAGGCCAGCCCTGCCCACGCCTGGACCTCAGACCTCCAGGCTCCTGACCCAGAAAGCGAATGTCTACTGTGGAAGCCGCCCGAGTGAGCCTTTGGTCACGGCAGTGTCAGCAAACAGCTCAACTGAAAACGCAGAGAAGAGTTTCCTCGGCACAGGCAAAGGTGCCTGTCCGCAGACGGCTGCCTTCCGAAGCTGCGTTTGCGTGAATCTCCCCTCGTCTGGAGGGGGAGGATGCAGGGCGCCACCCAGGGCCCAGGCCGCCAAGTGGACTCCCCGCCGCGACCGCCGAGTCCTTCGTCCCTGCTAGGAATCGAGAGATTCGCCTGAAGGCTCAGCAGACCCAACACCAGAAGCGTCTGCAGAGCCGCATGAAGGCCCCCGGCCGCCTGGCCCTTTGCCGTCTCTGCTGAGAGGCAGGAGGCCCTGGGAGGAGGCCACTCCGACCTAGGGCTGCGGGAAGGGCCAGCGGGCTGGCCTCTGCCTCTGCAGTGATGTCACAGGGGCCACCTAGCAACGGGGCCCAGGAACACAAGGGCAGCTCCCCGTGGAGGGGGTGGAAGCCATGCGCTCCATCTGAGGGCTGCGTGAGAGCCAGCGTCCTTCTTCTTTCCCGTGGCCCGAAGGCAGGGAGGTTGGAGAAGGACACCACGGCTGCACACAGGAGGCACCAGCTGGGCCCCGGGGCCCCTCCCTCGGCCGTGAGCCCCGGACACCTCAAGGCGGCCAGCGGGATGGCTGAGCTCCAGAGGAGCCGATGTGTGGGCGGCCTGCACCAGAAAGGGGACCCCCCGAGCTGCATCAAGACGCTGTGCAAGGAGCTAGGTAGGGCCGGGGTTAGGGCGGGGCAGACCGCTCTCCCCGGGCCAGCGAGGGCCACACACCCACCCCCCACCCCGGACCCACTGCCCCTGCCTAAGATCCTGAAGGCCAGGGTGGGGCGTGTCGGGCACTGAGGTCTGAGGGGGCAGAGCCAGCCTGGGACTGTGTGGGGACACACCGGGGTCCAGCACGGGAAGGGTCTCAGGTTGATGAGGAGGCCCTGGGGTGAGCCCCAGTCCCGCTGCCAGAGCCAGGGCCCTCGCGGCCAGGGGCAGCAGTGAACCCACGGGGCTGGGGGCCGCCCGTCTGCTCGTCACTAACGTGGCCTTTACGTTGTAAAGTATGCAAACTTACACCTGTGTCAGCCACGTGTCCCACGTTTCTAACCTGCGAGCGGGCCATGGTGTGGCCGAAATGGGGATGGGTGCCCGAAACGCCCTGGTCCTTACGTGGACCTGCCCCTGGAAGGTCAGCTACCCCAGGGCAGCGGGCCCGAGTTGGCGGAGAGACGGGGTGACAGCCAGTCGTCGGCAGGACCCCAGCAGTTGTGGTTCACACCAGCAAGTACCCTTTGCTATGACCGTCGTGTAGGAAGCCTAAGTGACGCTCTTAGGAGGCGAAACACAGTAGGCGGGAAATGCGGTTTGCTTGTTCAAGCCCTAGGAGCGATTTTAAGAGCTCATTGTATAAAAATATTTGTTCTTCTCTCAGCTTAAAAATCCAAAGCTGTGTTATCTCTGGAGGAGGAGGGGAAGGGGGAGCCGGCGGTCACAGCACAGGGGCCGCTGCATTTCCACTACCTCCGACCGATAGAAGTCCGAGCACAGGGCTTCCCTGCTGGCGCAGTGAGAGTCCGCCTGCCGATGCAGGGGACACGGGTTCGTGCCCCGGTCCGGGAAGATCCCACGTGCCGCGGAGCGGCTGGGCCCGTGAGCCATGGCCGCTGAGCCTGCGCGTCCGGAGCCTGTGCTCCGCAACGGGAGGGGCCACAGCAGTGAGAGGCCCGCGTACCGCAAAAAGAAAAAAAAAAAAAAGTCCGATTACAGCCACTCCTTCTCAGGCTCTCAGGAGGGCCGAGCTCCCCAGAGAGGAAACCAACCTATAACCTGCTCAGGAAATATTGCAAGTAGCCACAGTGTGTCCCCAGTAGTGCCGGCCACGGACCTTCCCACCCAGCACCGATGGGTTTGCCGAGGCAGGATGGAGGGCAGGGACGCACCGAGCGCTGCACTGCCAGCCGCCGTGCACACACCCGCCCCAGGCGCCAGGCCCGGTGGGGCTCCCGGACAGCATGGAGGGGATGCGCCGCCCGGAGCCGGAGCCACGCGGAACACAGCTCGCTGTCTACAGGGTAAAATGAGACGAGGTGCGGCCTCCCGAGTGAGGGCGGGGCACCCGCCAGGCCTGGGCGCCCACACTTGGAAGCAAGAGCCAGGAGGCTGGTGCCGCCGGGCCCGCAAGCGCCAAGGTGACGTGGACGCAGGAGGCGGGGCCGAGCGCCTGTGGGACACGCCCCCCAGCCGGGCGGGAGAGGAGTCCGCGCACGGAGGGCCCGCGCGAACCCGCGGATCCACGGCTGAGCTCGCGCCCGGGCCCTGAGCCTTTGCCTGGGACGCCAGACCGCAGCCGCCGGCCTCGCTGCCGCAGAGCCTCCGGGCCAGGCGCCCCAACGACGCCCCCACTGCAGGGGTGCGTCCAGGGCAAGGAGGGGGCTGTTCCCCGGAGGGGCTCCAGGCATCGGCGAACTGGGCCTGCTGAAATCCGCAAGGCGGAGGAGGGGGCGAGGGGCGCCCTGGCCGCGAGGTGGCGTCAGGCCGGTCGTGCAGCGGGTTCCCGCCCGTGTCGGCCCCGCCCCGGCCCGCGCCTGTCCCGCCCTCCGCTCCCACCGGCGCGAACCCCGACTTCCGGGGGCGGCTCGCGGTCCAGACAGTGACCTGTGAGTGTTTGGCGATCACTTAGAGGCCAGCTGAAGAAAGGCAGCAAAGGAAATAGTCTCTTCGCGTGCGGGGGCAGCTTCTGCCCGGCCTGCTACTCCTCCCGGAGCCACGCACGAGCCCAGCCTGGAGCCTTACGGGCTGAGCCCTGCAGGTGCGCCCAGAACCCCGAAGAAAGCAGGGCCTTTCTTAGAAAGCGGACAAAGGGGGAACCCGCGAACACACTGATATTTTTACTTTATGATAACGAGGCACGGGGGGCAGGTGTGTGTTTCTCATTCCACAGCTGCTTTGGAGCAAAGAAAAACCAGGCTCTCTTTTTACTGATTCTTTCCTTCCTGCCAAATACACGTTACAGGAAGGAGCAGGTTTGAAGATCTATCTGGAGCGGCCCTGTGTCTTCTAAAAACGGACACACTTGCACACATACACAGACATGCACAAGCACACACGTGTGCACACACGTAGGGGCTGCTGAAGATTTTCCGGAAGAAGCCCACCGTAGATCCCTGCCAGAAAACCACTGAGCCGAACCATCCGGGCCCTTCCATCTGAGGTCGACGCCGCGCCCTTCCCTCTGAGAGCTGCCAAGTTCTGAAGTAGTCTCTGAAGACCCAGGGTCGCCTCAGCCTTGGCCTTCAGGGCTTTGTCTCTAGGTGGCCAGGGCCAGCCTGGGGGTGGCGGCACAGCCGCAGGTCAGCAGACGTCCCGGAGCCCGTGTGCGAAGAGGATGCATAGCACCTAATTCTCACCCACAGGGAACTCAGACCAGAGACAAGGAAAGTGTGCGGACGACCCGGCCCAGGGCGGGGGCCGAGTGCCGGGGAGAATGGGCGTGACGGAAAGCTCCCTCCAAGGAAGGTTGCTTAACACTGGGCAGGGGGCCCAGGTCCCCATGAAGGATGGCGCTGGAGGACGGCAGGGGTCGGGGGACACGGTCCAGGGGAGGGACAGCGTGCAAGACAGCGAGGACCAGCGAAAAAGCAGGAACAGAAAGCAGGGCACCTGCCGGAGCCGGGCCCTCGCCCCCTCTGTCCGGCAGGTATCCCCGGCCCCGAGGCCTGTGAGCTGAAAGGATCCCGAGTAGCTGATCTGGCCGCCAAATTCTGTAGGAAGTCCTCTGGGATGGCGGCTTGCAGAGGCATCCTGCTGGGTCTCCTGTCAAAAACTTTATTTAAAGCTCAGAGCTCACAGCTCCCGAGGCTCACGCTATCTCGCCGAGGTCACCAAAATGCAGCTTCCCGTAATTGTTTACTGACAACCGCTCCATGCATGAGCCCGGGGCTGGATCCTGTGCCCCTTTCTCCTCACCGGACAAAGACCTTTCCCAGCCAGAGGACTCCCACCGCTGGCAACGCCCCTCAGAGGAGCCAGGAGGAGCGTCCTGGAGGGTGTGGTGTGGTTCAGATCTCACCTCCGGGGCTGGGTCGCCGCCCCCCACCCCCCACCGGCCCTCAGTTCCTGCTGCTTCCAACCCCACCTGCTGCCACCAGGAGGACGCAAGGGGTCCCTGCGCCTGGCACAGTGACAGTAGAGGCAACGCCAAGGCCTCCCGCCACGTGCCACGGAGCGGGCAGAGGCCCTGCGGGGAACCTGTGGGGGGCAGGGGGCCTTCGACACCCTGCACCGGCCTGCAGAGGGCTGATGTGAAGAGTCGGGGCGGGAGGCCTCCTGGGCCGGGGATGCGTGAGAACGCTGGTCAGAATTGGGGCGGCAGCGCCCACACCCCGCAGGTGGCCCGTCAGCATCCTCGCAGGCTGATGACAGACCCGCTGCTTCCTCCTCAGAGCCTGAAGGTCATGGGAAGGACCTCAGAAGCGACACGGAAGATGCCCGCTGGTGAGTGGCCTTGTCCAGCGGAGGCAGCTGTGCAGAGACGTGCGGAGAACACGGCAGGCTGGGGTGGGAGTGGGCGCCAGGGTAAAGACCTGGCGGGGGAGGGGGGTGCTGAGGAAGGCCAGGGCGTCCGGAGAAGACCTCGAGGCTCAGACGGAGGGTCGGGGGCCGGTGACCCAGGGGGCTCGCAGGGCCTCAAGCAGCCCCCCACCGGCAACCCCCCGGCCCAGCATCCTGGGGCCGGCGCCTATCGCTGCAGACCTTCCCCCTCGGATCCCCGGGCATCTCGCCCGAGAGCCTGCCAGGGCTGCCGGCGTCCCTTGTGTTGGGGCAGGTTGGGGTGACGGCTCCTCAGGGAGGTCAGCTCAGCAGCACTGCCGCGTCCTTCTCTGCTCTGCCCACCCCTCTACCCGAGTCTGCCTCGCCCACCGCCCGCCAGCCCCGCCCTGCTGACCCAGGGGCGCCGGTGCCCAGGAGGGAGGAAGGTGTCGTCTCAAAGCCCCGCTTGCTCCCGCTGCAGCCAGGCAAGCCAGGGGAAGCAGCGCCAGGACGCCGCTGGGCAGGTGCGGGGGCGTTGGAAGGAGGCGGAGCCCGAGGCCAGCGGCCAGGAGGAGCCGGACGGCAGGGAGGGCTCAGACAAGCGCGCCCTGGAGGCCAAGGTCAGGCCGTGGTCCTTTCATGTGCACGCGCTGCCGGCCCTGCGCCTTGGAGTCCTGCCTCTGTTTATCCGTTCGGTGTCTTCTTACAGGAAGGGGAGCCAGAGTCCGTACAGCTGGGTGACCTCCTGGAAAAAGAGGCAAGAGCTTTTCACTTTATTAACAGAAGTCAGAGGGGAGGCCTGTCAGGCACAGTCCTGCCGAGGACACGCGGGCTGGGCCAGGCCCCACCTGAGCTGCCTCAGCGCCCAGTCTGTGCTCCTGGCTGGCGCCGGGGCACCTTAACCCCGGCTTGCCAAACAGCACAGCTGCTGAGGGAGCGGGGGTCCCGACAGGGGGTGACCCTCAGCTTGCCCTTGTCAGGGAGCCCCAGCCCCGGCCCGCCGCAGCCCAGGGGCAGCGGTGCTCACAGGACCCTGTCCAAGAGAGGCTTTCCTTCCCCTTCCCCATCCGCGTGCAGGGGTGGAGGGGAGCTGGGCTTGGCCTGCATCCAGGGCCCCTGGGGTCCCCTCCACTCCCCAAAACACTTCTCCCATTGTTGACTAAACTGCTACCACTGGGCCAAGCCAAGGTGCCTGGTCAGAGACCTGGGGGCCGCTGCACCTGAGCCCCCCAGGCCTTCCCAGCTCACTGTGTGTCTCTGCAGCTCGGGCAGCGGGGCAGGGGGTCTGCAGAGGCAGAGCTCGGGCGCTGCCCAGATGAGCAGGCCTGCAGTGGGCCTGGAGGGTCCACCCAGCTCTGGGCATCACCAGCCCTGATTCTCAGGGGGAGAATCAAAAAAGCCGGGGGAGACCCTCTGAGTTCTCAGGGACCTGATGGGAAGCGAGCAGGGAGGGTTGGGGGGCCACATCCCTCCTCTCCCTGTGCCCGAGGGCACCTTAGCAACCACAGTGTCAGCAGGTCCCACCACACACTGCCGGTGTCTGGTGGGCTCAGTGTAACGCCCAGACCCTGGCCACCACTGGCCCAGAGCCCACGCTCCCTCCCAGGAATCTGTGTGCCTTCCTGGCTCCCCCAAGCCCACCAGCCACGCCTCTTTGGTTTCCATCCACAGAAGCCATCTGTGTTTGTGGAGGTTGATCTGGGAGACGGATCAGAGGAGGTAAAAAAAACCCAAAGTTCGCAAAGCCAAACCAGCCACCGGGAAACGCCTTGCTTGGAGCCATGCGGCGTTCCCAGGAGCTTGCCCCGTCACCATCACCACAAGCACGGGTGTGCTGGAGGCTGAGGCAGAGATGGGGCCCAGGGTTTGGAGACTGGCCAGGGGACCAGAGAGCACCTCGCTTCTTTCTCATTTTCCCTCACGCCAACCCACACACATTCCTGCACCTCCATAGATTCCAGGGCCTGGGTCAACCCTCGAGGTACCCAGGGGCCCTGAGAACCTCTTGTGAGATTGTGCTGGGGTGGTGAAAGGGCACAAGCTGAGGAGCTGGGAGACCCAGCCTCCACAGCTCTCCAGTGAATGCTCAAACAAGTCACCATACCTCTCCATGCCTCAGTTTTCTCATCTGCAAAATGGGGATCTTAGTAGCACCCACAGTCCAGCGTTTTGTGACACCCTCAGAACACTGCCTGGTACCCAGGAAGTCCCAGCATTAGATATCATCTTCACCACCTACACCACCACCACCATCATCACTATCTTCATCACCATCAGCGTCATCAAAACTACCACCCCAATCATCATCTTCATCGCCATCAGCATCACTATCCCCATAATCTTCATCACTATCCCCATCGCCTACACCACCACGGTCATCATCACCATCATCACCGCCATCATCACATCTTCACCATCATCACATCACCACCATCATCATCATCATCATCACCATCACCACCATCATCATCACCATCACCATCATCACCACCATCATCACATCTTCACCATTATCGTCACCACCATCATCACCATCACCATCGTCACCACCATCACCATCACCATCATCGTCACCACCATCATCACATCTTCACCATCATCACCATCATCACCACCATCATCACCACCATCATCACCATCATCATCACGTCTTCACCATCATCACCACCACTGTCACCACCTACACCACCATCACCATCATCATCACCATTATCACCATCACCATTGTCACATCATCATCACCATTATCACCATTTTCTGTAAAAGGAAGTGGGTAACCCCATGGCCTGATTGGGCCTTTCCAACACAAATATTCTCCATTTCTCTGCTATAGTGAGCAGCCATCTCTTTGGAAGTTTTTTGAAATTCTCTCCTGGCAAATGTAAGCCCCTACCCGGGGGTTGCTTTTTTCCAGATCGCACCTTCTATATCTGCCCTCAGAACATGCTGTACGATGAAGAGAGCTGGTTATTGACCGCCTCCACACACAAGGCTACCGCGGGGCACCACAGGCTTCAAGGACTCATGAAGAATCAGTCAGGGGCAGAGCTGGGACTTAGGGTCCAGGTCTTCTGACCTACAGTCCAGGGGTCATGGTAGCTCACATCCAGGCACAGTTCCTTGGTCAGGGTCCCCTAGTTAGAAATTCCCACTTGACGGTGCCCTGTCTCGTGGGAGGATGCTCAGTGCAGTCTCCACGCCCCACCTCGTCCTTGGGCAGGTTCAGCAGGTCCGGCCCTGGTCCCTGTCATGACCCCCTCGCCTGTCCCCTCAACTACTCCCACCACATCCCACAGGTGATCACATGTGCCATGAAAGAAGAGAAGCAGCCCCAGATGGACATGGGGGATTTGTCAGAGGACGAGTGAGTGAGGGGTTCACACTGGGGAAGGTGGGAGGCTTTTCCTCCATCAGGGTTTCTGGTGGGCAGAGCGAGCCCCGGGCTTTCGATTCCTCCTGGGCACACGCAGAGACCCAGGCGTTTACTGCAGCTGGGGGGGTGAGGCAGGATCCCCGTGAGTCCCACCTCACCCCTAGCTAGACCCCTCTCCCCACCCTGTCAGCCAACAAAAGGGCCAGAGTAGGAGGGAGGGAAAGGTGGGAAGAAGAAGAGGGGGTGAGAGTGGGAGGGTCTCCTCTCTGTGCAGCTCCGAGGTTGCAGCCCTTGGTCCTGCAGGCAGTGGGGGGACCCGTCACACGTGGCTGCTGGCTCAGCAGGGCAGAGGGACCTGGGGGCGGGGGCGGGAGACGTTTGTCCTGACCGCCTCCACCCTGTGGGCAGAGATTGTGAGGCTGCGAGCGCCTGGGAGCAGGTGAGACACTCGCCCAGGGCAGTGGCTCTGTGGTATTTTAAACAATACAGAGAAACACAAAGGAGAAAACAGCAATTTGTCCCCTTTCCAGCAGAGTCGGAATTAACAACCACGTCAGTGTCGTGGCTAATTTTCTTGCACGGTTTTTAAAAGAAAAATTTCTCTATTTACTTTGTAAAACCGATACGCGGTCATTTAAAATAAATGAAAATGTGAGATAGCCCAACACAGAGGAAAACTTTTAAATCTGCGAGTGCCACCTCGGAAACAGTGGGGACTTCATGGGAGCACGTGGCCCCAAAGGAAGATCTGGACCGCGGGAGAACAGGGCCTTCGGGCCATTGTGGGTTGCCAGCTGTGAACGTTTATAGCATTACAGCCCTTTGCTTACTTGGCAGTCGCTGTTACTGCCTTTCCCCAGGTTGTATGTTTTGGGGGAGAGCGTTCCTGTTAGGAAGTGTCACCCCACGTCTCTCCTGATCTCTGCTCACACAGCCGGCCGTGTGGCTTTCACCAAGATGTCAGGACTGGCTGGCACGCCCCCAAATCTATGCTTGGGGAATTCCCTGGTGGTCCAGCGGTTAGGTATCCGCGCTTTCACTGCCAAGGGCTCAGGTTCAATACCTGGTTGGGGAACTAAGATCCCGCAAGGTGCGTGGCATGGCCCAAAATAAAAATTTTTTTAAATTTAAAATTAAGAAAAAAATTAAACCAAATCTATGCTTGACATGGGAAGGTCTTTCCTAAGCAGACGTCTGTTTTTCTCATCAATTCTGGATAGATGTGGTGATGGATTCAGACACACCGGACACAGCCTGGCAGCTCCTTTTCTGCCCCAGGCCAGGCGGGCCCAGGCCCACCCTCTCGGCCTCTTGGTCCGGCTCCCCACCCCCCGTGCTCAGTTGCCCCAGAGAACCTGCAGACGGGCCGTGCCCAGGAGCCAAGCCTCAGCTGCTGGAGGCTGCTTGGCCAGCAGGACAGGGTCTGCTCCACAGGGGCCTGGCCTGGACATTTGCTGGGCAGGGCCACCTGTCTGCCCTGCTCACCTGCAGCCTCAGTTTCCCTCAGAGCTAAGCCGCCTCTATCCAGCCAGCCCCCTAGGGCACCCAGGCACTAGCAGCCCGTTAGCCGCCCGCTGGGGGGCTTTGGCACTGAGCCGTGGAGGTCCCTGCGAAGGGAAGGGGGCCACCTCGTCCCAGAGCCTCGGTTGCAAGCAGAACCCCCAGAGCCCACGCACAGGGACAGGCACGGGCTGCGACGCTCGGGAAACGCTGGGCTGGGCATCGTCCACCTGCAACGCCTCTTCGGAGCCGGGCAGGGGAGGGAGGGCAGCTCGGCTCTGCTGACCTTCAAGGTCTGCTGTGCTCAAGGGGTCCCTCCTGGGCTGGAGACACAGGGGTGGCGGTGGGAGGGCAAAGCCCGGCTCTGCACCGGCCGGGAGCCCCGCTGGCCTTGGGAGGATGGGACAGGGGCAGTTCTCTCACCCGCCCACCCCGCCCCACTCTGTCTCCAGGATCGAGACCAGCTGGGTGTGCTGCATCCCATACTCCACCAGGAAGAAGGTGGAGGAGAGCTCATAGCAGCCGGAGAAGGTAGTTCACACTCAGAGATGGGCCGGGGCCGAAGCGGGTGCCTGGAGGGGCAGGAAGTAGAAAGGGGGCGGGGACCAGGCCGCCTCCTGGGTCCCACCCTAGCCCTGCCCCCTCTGGCCAGGGGTCTAACCGAGGTCTCCACTTGTCTCCTAGGGTCGGCCAGGCCGGGAGGGGCGAGGGACGAAGCCAGCGGCCCTGAGAGACGCCACGCAGACCTGGTGCCGTTACCACCCCACGTGTGACGTCCCTACCACCGCGAAGTGATGACGCCACCTTTAAAAAGGACTCAGTAAAGCGCGAATGGAAGACGTTGTCCCTCTCCAGGGGCCCTGTCCCTTCTTTCCACACACCCTGTCCTGTGAAATGTAAGTTAGGGGGGAGATGCAGCTCAGGGATGGACGGCACGGGTGGCCGCCCCTCCCAGGTCAGGGGTCGCGCAGCCCCGCACTCAGCCCCAACGAGGGCTGCCACCAGGGCACGGTGGGACCCCAGGCATTGGTCCCCAAGCACCGGGGGCAGGCGTCCTTGCAGCTGGAACTGGGAGCCTCGAGGGCCACGTGGAGGAGATGAAGCCGCAGGGAGGTGCTGCTTGTGGGAGCGGGGAGGGGCGTCAGGGGTCGGGGAGCCGCACCAGGGAGACCCGACGGGCTTCGAGGCTCCTCTGTTCAACCAGCTGAGGCTCTGCAGCCTGTCCCAGGCCATTCCTGTGGTTCAGCCCAAGACTAAGGACGCGGTGGCCCCCAGGCCCCCAGCAGCAGGCACAGCCTCCTGAGCAAGTGCTCCCTGTCCCTGCCCGCTGGGTGGCAGCTCCTGGCTCCGGCACCAGCCCCCGAGTAAGGCAGAGAGGAGCTTCCGGAGAGTCCGCGGAGGAGGCTGTCTGGGCTGCAGTCATTTTACCGGTCCCTCTGCTCCCGGGGCTCAGCCACAGCAGGCCAGGAGGGGGACCGGCCCCCGGCCAGCCCTCGCCCTGGTCTGTCCGTGTCCACCTCTGGCCGCCGCGGACAGCTGGCCTCGTTCAGAGCCACGTGCCGCCTGTCCGGCCATGGAGGGGCCCCGGGGGGGCAGGGCGGCCTCACACGTGTGCACAACCCGGCTGGCTTGGCGGTGACCTTTCACCTCCCGTGTCGGCTGGGGTGCCTGCGGGGAGCCGGTCCGGCCAGCGCCATGGGAACCTGCAGGGCCGGCCGCAGGCGTGGAGGTGGCGGCTCCTGTCTCCTGCCCGCGGGCCAGGCTCCAGCCCGGCGGGTGGACGCGGCCCTGGGGGCCTCCGCTCTGGCGCCCCCAGGCCCACCGAGGCCCATAGAGCAGGCGCTACCCATGGAGCCCAACCACAGCCCTGCGTCGCCCACCTCTGCATCCTGCCAGGGAGCACGCCAGTCCCAGGGGTGACGAGGGCGTGACACGGGCCTTGCGGATTTAGAAAGAGCCGACGACCTGGAGGGAAGCTGTAGGATCTAGGGCAGTAGGAACCATTAGCTCGCCGTTGGCAACTCAATGCGCTCATGTCAGACCAGGAGGGAAGCCGGAGCCTCCAGCCTGAGCCGCCCTGGTGGCCGTCGGAGCTGCTTCTGCCCATCGCGCTGCTTGGAGCTCGGCAGGGGGCCAGCCTGGCCTTTGTGGTGTTTACATTTAGGGAGGGTTGCCCCCAGCCTCCCCCTGCTCGGAGGCCCCGGTCCTCAGGGTCCCCCGACTCAGCCTGCAGGGGCGCCTATGCAAGCTCCCCAGAGGCTGGGCCCCCTGTCGCCTGACCCGGCTTCCTCCTCCGTCCCCGCTGGCCCCCCAGCTACTCAGACACCAGTGAATGAGAGGCTGCAGGGCCCCCCCCCCAACCCGGGGCAGGGACAGCCCCGACACCTCTGGTGGACGCCAGCCGCACGCTGGCGCCCGTCCTGCCTGGGCCCCGGAGCACCACGCCAGTGCCTCCTGCTTGCCTCTCCCATTAGTATTCTCCCCTGAATCACATATGCGTTTTCACTGTGGGAAACGTGGGAACCAGCAAAAAGCATCTAGCCTGTCATCTCGTCAGATTACCTCCAGATTATCGCTGTTAGAATTTCCATCTATCTCTCGAGTGTTTCCTCTCTCTTGATGTATGTAGAGCGAGCTATATGTGGAGATGGGTAAATAAAGCTTTTTACAAAATTGGCGTCACACTGCACCAGTTGTTTTTTTCTAACAGGTTTTCCTTATGTCATAAGCCCTTTCCCCAATATCACCGTAAATGTTTGCTGAAAGCCTACCACGTGCCAGGCACCGTTCCAAGTGCCGGGGACATGGCGACTGTTGAACGAATCCTGGCCTCGCGGAGCCTCCATTCCCAGGGGGAAACGAGAGTGGGCGTCCGGTGCGTCTTGCTTCATCTGCACGCAGCCCCACAAAAATGCGCTCCATCGGGCTTCCCTGGTGTCGCAGTGGTTGGGAGTCCACCTGCCGATGAAGGGGACAAGGGTTCGTGCCCCGGTCTCGGAGGATCCCACATGCCGCGGAGGCTGGGCCCGTGAGCCATGGCCGCTGAGCCTGCGCGTCCGGAGCCTGTGCTCCGCAACAGGAGAGGCCACAACGGTGAGAGGCCCGCGTACCGCAAAAAAAGGCAAAAAAAAAAAAAATTAGCTCCATCATCTGAAAAGTGATGCTCCAGGGCCACACCTCCCAGGGCACGGGGCACACCTGCTAAAGAGCACGCAGAGTAATGTGAAACGTGGATGGCGGGCTGGACCAGGAAGGGGCTCGGGGAGCGTGCGGCGAGCAGCGGTGACCACGTGACACCTCGAGACGTTTGGCGAGTCTCACTTCACTGATTCTACAAGGTGAGGCCCTATTATGGTCCCGATTTGGCAGCAGGAAGGCCGGGTGTTGCGTGTGGAGAAGGGTACATAGCATGGCGCCGCCCACCGGCTGCTACCCTCAGAGGCCGCCATGCCCACGTGCCAACCAGCGTGTGCTGTTGCTGCTGCTGCCGTCGATTCCTGGTCTTTTCCTGCTGCTCCAAGGACTTGGACGTGAAAGAGAGGCGTCCCCGCCCTCCCTGATCCCGCCTAGAACGGCAGCCGCGCTTGCCTCGCACGCCCCCTGGTGGCGGGATGGCGCCCTCACAGCCTCTCTCTGTTTTTCAGTAGGGAAGTCATCCTCCCAGACCTTTCACCAGGAGGCGGCCCATCTGAAGCAGCAGCCAGAATGTGAACGCGGTGGTGGCCGTCTGTTGTCGGGCAGAGTGAGGCCTGACCCAGGCCCCGTGTGCATGGCCACCGCGCCCTCCAGTCCAAGGCGTGTAGCTTACACGCAGCCCGGCGGTCAAGTGTCCTGGCCACTGACCCTCCCTGCACCATGACCTCGCGACCCATGACCCCACGAGCTCTGTAGGATAAACAGACCTGCACCTCTGTCTAGAGTCCTGGGCGCCTCCGAGGGTGGACGACACTTGGCTCATGTGGAAACCCACCCCCCAAATAGATGCTTCCCGTGATGCCCTGACGTACTTCACCCAGCAAAACACAAACACAAAGGTCACTCACACGGCAGCATCCTGAGGCCCCTGTGCCCAGTATCCCTCCAGTGTCCCCATGTCCCCAGGTGCCCCCGTGTCCCCAGGTCCCCATGTCCCCAGGTGCCCTGAGTGTCTCTGGACTCCCTGGTGTCCCTGGTGACATCCGGCATGGAGGGCCCACTTGTAGGAGGATGAACTGAGTAAGGACGGCCTGGCCGCCGGGGGGAGGGGGGAACTTGCTAAGGCCTTTGGAGGTGAGAGGCTCACCAGAGCAACACGCAGAGCTTGTCAGGACCAGCCCGGGCCGTGCAGTGGGAAAGCATCCCCTCCTGTCCCATGAGTTGTCCCTTCCCAGAGTGCAACCTGCCTGAGGACTCTACCAGCTGCCTGGGAGAGGGGCGGGCAGGGGGCAGCCCTGAGGGCAGGAGAGGAGGGGAGCCCTGTCCTGGGCAGGGTTTGGGGGTGGGGGGACTTCAGCATTTACATCAAAGAGACAGTTATGTGCGCTGGGCTGCAGGAAGCCCAGCGAGGTCTGGCTAGACTCCCCTTAGTTCCCCCTCCATCTGCATGGACTTGGGATGCGTTTTCAGAGGAGTGTGCTGCTCACCACGCAGGACGTTTCCTCCGTGGACCCGGCGCGCTGTGACAGTCTGTGGGCAAAGGGCTTTCCGGTCCTGTAAGCATGACTGTGGAGCAGGGTCTTCTGTGTGGAGCAGGTGCTCTGGAGCAGGTGCTCGGGAGCGGGTGCTCGGGAGCGGGTGCTCGGGAGCGGGTGATCGGGAGCGGGTGCTCGGGAGCGGGTGCTCGGGAGCGGGTGTTCGGG